AATGTTTGGAAAGCTTATTAGACAAGATCATTTTAAAGGTTTCCTGCAGTAGATTCAACTCAGATGAAAAAGAATATCTTTCAATCAGAGTCACAGATTTTAACCGAAAGCCAAACAACTCTAAGAGAGAAATGGGATGAAATAAAAACCCAAGAGCAGACATTAAAAGGCACAGCTTCCTGAGGGATGCAGATCAAGAAGGACAGCCAGTTGTTGAACTGCCATGTAGGACAGCTTCCAGAACAACACAGAGGCTTCCAAGTGAGCATCCTGGAAACACAGTACCAAATCCCTGTGACAGCATGCACAAGTCACAAAATTACAACAGCCCTTGAAGTCCGGTCTACCCACAGCAAAGGCGAAATCTCAGGCTCACAGTCAGTCCCATCGTATTTGTTCACAGACGTTTGAAGGTCATGGGTTGCTTGTCTGGTTTGGAAATGGCTGGGAGAGAATGATATGCATTGTTTACCGTCAGCAGTTTTTCCCTCTGTGGGGCACACATTGTAGCCCACAGGGGAGACACCTGTCTTAAGGATCAAGTCACTTGTGCACTCCCCTGAATTCTAAACTATAGGAACTCGGCTGATGTTCTGAACCTCATAGTCCCCAAGAGCTTTTCAGTTAATGTAGAGTAAACCAACCATCTCTGGGGAAATTTGTGCACTGTGCTTCCATGCCACAGTTGTTTGTTCTTCACATGGCCTTTGTTCACTGTCTCCATCACAGTCATTTCCCACAAGATGACACAACATGCTAGCTCTAAGTGGTCTCCTACAGTGCACAAATGGATTTGCCACCTGGGAGCTAAATGGTTTACGTGAATTTCCTTGGATGCCCTAGGACAGGAAGCACTTTAGCCTGTGAGAAGTATACACTGTGCCCTGGCACTTTGTGCCATGAGAGTGGCCACTGAGAACACCGGACTTGCAAGCCTAGAGTTCGTCCCAAAATTTGCCACTTACCAGCTGCTTCGCTCTTAGCAAGTCACTGAACAATTCTGAGCCTCAGCTTTCTCTTCTAGGATGAGGCTATTAATAACCTTCCTCCCAGGGCTGTTTTATGTGCAAAAGAAGTTTGTAAGCTCTCTTAGGAATTATTATTTTAAACCTCAGAATGCCACCCCCAGGTCCTGCCCAGGAGACTGATGACAGGTTCTGCCGACAGGGCTCTCTAATTCAAAACTGGGCTGGAAGGAGCCGCAAGCCTTGTCCTCCCATAGACCAAAAAATGCTATTGAAACCAAATAGCAACCCGGGGCAATAATAAAAGAACTTATACCTTTCTACATAAAACCATAACAGAATAATCATTCTTTTGCCCAGGACTGGCTAGAAGAAATGAGGTTTTACAGAACCACTGTCTTTTGCTTTTGACTTCTCGCGTGTTAAAAGTGAAGATCACCCTGACATTTCTCAACAGTTTAAGGCCAGATACCTAGAGGGTGCTATTCATAGGACAGTTTCTGGGCAAATCCATACAGCTATATAACAACTGACAGGAAAGTTTGTCTTTCGAAGAAAGAAGTAAAGAACACAATAAAACACTCATGACCTCTAAGCCTGACCCTCATAGCCTGATCCTTCACTATTTTTAAGAATGTTTAAATATTTTTATAAGCTTCAGCTAAGATTCAAAGCTGTTTTTTTAAAAAAGTAATATATTGCCCAAAACAAAATATATATTTTCAATGAAAATGGAGGAAGGAAGCTACATTTTTTAAAACTAAAGATGACTTTTGTGTGGCACCAAGAAAAAGATAAGCCGCAAAAGCTGGTTCTGTTAGAGTCAGGGGGGCACTTGGAACAAAGTGTAAAAGGAAATGGAGGACCCTAAGAAGTGATGAGGTCATGGACACAAGTGATGTTTAAGCAGAGCCTGTATTATCACTCAGCAATGAATATGTAAGAGATTTTTAACACTAGATGGAATAGGTGGTTGTGGAGTCCTTTCTAATTGTGGACCTAAAAGCCATAGGGAAATAGGGCTGCCTTGCTCACTCTCTTGTGGGGGTCCAAAAGACAGGCATGTTTGCTGCAAGAGTGAAGTATATAGCTATGAATCAGTTAGAATACACATTTTGTATGTTATAATTAAAGCTGTATAGCTGTAGTACACTTTGGCAACTCATCCTATCTTTCAATTATGAAGAAGTAAAACAGCAAATAAAAAATTGAATTTGGCTTCCTCTATGACCTTTCCTTCCCATTGGCATTGAATATCTGGAACACTTTTCTCATGCTAGGGAAGTTCCAGAATCCATGACACTTAAAGCAGAGGGTCTTCTCTGAATGTAGCTTTTGCTTCTCTCTTGTTTCTGGTGCCTTAACTATTCTTCCATCAACTCTAAATCAGTTAATGCATCAATTCAAGATCTCTTACCAGGTTTTACTCCTCCATGAGCCTTCCTGGGGATAATTACTCTTCCTGACTCTATCTGACACTCCATTCCTTCCTATGGAGTACCAATGGAACCTGCTGGATCTTATTGCAGTTGTCCTGAATCAAAGTTACTTTGGGGCTAATTCTCTTACAGAGATGATTAAATTAAAGACATGAATAAGGACAAATGTAAAGAAAGAATATGAACTCCTAAGGATAGTTGCTAATTGCTCATGTAGGAAAGCTGCTCACTCGGTTTAAAGTGCAACATCTCTGGGTATAAACACTGGAACACAGAATGGAAGTGCATCTCAAAACAAATCAGCCGGTACATCTTTATGTTGAACCTATGAAGTATCCAGGAGTCTTTCGCATATTCAGTATGGAAACACCTTATTTTTGAGAAGACAGGAAAAAAAAGGAAAGGGTTGAAGAGACTCAATGAATATTCACCAAGTAGCTTGCTTCTTTTTTTCAGAATGGCTTTGATTTTGCAAACATCAAAACCAGTACAATATATCAAGTTTTGTACATGGGAGCTCTATCTGATCTAGTATTCTCTCTCCTGGATTTGAGACCTTGGAGGAAATTTCTACATTGAGAATCAGTTTTCTTTCGGTGATTCAAATTCCATTTACTTTCAACTCTGAAGAAAGTATTTTCACCTACCTTGAACCAAACTGATTGCTATATTTCACTGGATATATTAAAAGAAAGTAAGAAATATCTTTTGGTCCAACTGTTCAGAGGAAAAGCAGAAAGGTAATTGGCCTTGACATCATGTCAATAAATGATAGAAAATTGTAAGTTATTGATATCTGACCTACAGACAAAGATTTAGAGATTAAACTTGTTTTGCATAGCCCCAGAGCCAGATTTTTGTTCAACATGAGGGAGAACTTTTGTAGAAAAGAGTGACCCTAAAGGTAGAATGGACTGCTGTGGGTAGTTTAAGAAGATGTGGGATGTGACATATCAGGGAAAAACAAAACAAAACAAAAAACAACAGAAGAAATTTAAATACTTAAAGGGTCATGATTCCAAGGGACATGTTGGTCTTAAGAGTCTAGGAACAACACTGGCATTTGGCGTCAGCTATAGCCCTCTGCACTGGTGTAGGATATAAGATGGCATAGTGACACCAGTCTCATTCTTGGTAGATCATTCTACTCCTGGGGGTGAGAACTGAATTAGAAGCTAAATTCTGTGCCAACTTGATTGAAAGATTTGTGGATCCTGAATAAGGCCTCCATTTGGGTATATTAGATAATGTCTATCAGATAAAATGAAGTTGTGTCTTGCCCCTAAATGGATGGGAACCTTGGAAAAGTTAATAAAGACATACAGTAGGGGAATCTAATGCAAGCATCTTAAAGTTTTACAGAGGAATTAGTATAGGGTTTCCTCCTCTCTAGTGTATGTTTTCACTTGTAAATATGAATTTTTATTTATAACAAAGAATGGAAATAGATATATTTATTATTGTGGTTAGAGAGGGCTGTACACTAAATAATTAGAAACAAAGAGCAAAGAGTTTAGTAATTTCTTGTAACTTCAAAGGGGGGTGTCACTGAGTTTAGTAAAAATGCATATTCTATACAACTTTCCTCAAAATAAGCTACCTGCATGTTGGATAATTACAATCAATTCACAAAATTTTTGGCACAAGGGGCAGAAAAGTATAATAGAGAAAGGAATAAGTGTCCCTCCTTTCTCTATTGAAGGGAAATATGCTATTTTATATTTAGTTTTCTGTGTTTACCACTAAAAAGAAAACAACTATGAATCAATTATAGTGTAGTTGTTAGGCAAGACATTACAGAAAGTAGATGATATGAACAAGAGAACCACAGAAAAAATCCTACTTACTGTGCTCACTAGGTAAGTACATTGGAAAGGGATAAAACATTGTGTGTATACAGAAACCTCTTTCTGCAGAGATGCTCAGCATGTAGAGCAGAATATGTCAGAATATGCATCACCAGCTCTCAGAAAGAGGTGAGCTATGTCCTCCTCTCAGAGGGGATGAGAGGTTATGCAGTATAACATTTCTGGTGTAGTGATGGCCATGCGATGGGACCTAGCAGCAGCTCTCATTTTACTCTCTTCTGATAGGGGAAAACATATATTAGTAGTCATTGTAATTTTTAAAAACCTCATTAACTTTTACCTTCTTAAACAACTGTGATTGCTGATCCCTAAAACAAGTTATAAAAATTCTCAGAATTACACTATGTAAGAACTGTGTTGCCATAGTTTTAATTGTAGACTACCTCTGCTCTCAAATCCCTCCTTCTCCTCCTGAATTCTTCTTTTCTTGGAAATAGGTTAAACAAAACCAAAACCAAAACAACAAAAAATATTTAACTAGTGACACATACTCACTGGGACTTCTCATTATTTCCTGGAAATTTCATTTATATATTGAATTAAGTATGCATTATGTTTTACTTTCTTCATAGGTGACCCTCCCCAAAAAGAAAATCAATGCCAACCTTGTGAAAACATGTAGTGAAAATGGAAGTGAGGATAAAAACAAAAATTGGAAACATAGTCCTAGAATTATAAGCTTTTTTTTCACACACACAAACAAAAGGATATGAGGGCATAATTTTTTAACAAAATACTTCAATGTGAGACAGAGACTTGTTCTCAGATTGCTTTTATCAACAGTCTAAAGGCCAGTAATATGTGTTCTAGGAACAACTCTGGTGCTGACCTACCAGAGTAAGTAAAATATTGTGATTCAACTATTAAGATTAAATATCATTGTCATGGGCAAAATGCTGATATGTATAAAAATTCCTGAAGGATAATAGTTTTTCCTTGCCTTAAGAAAAATTATCAAGTTTCAGTGGAATAAAATAACATGCCATCACTATAAATATCATTGTTACGTTGGTCAAAAATGCTTTGGATTAAAACAAAAGAATCTTAAGCTAGTCTTAGAATGATTACTTTGCATTTACCTGAGAAAAGAAGGTCAATCATAAATGAATTTACCAAGAATTCTGTGATCTGAGTCCTTGATGAAAGCTCATTAAAATAAAAATCAAAGATTCTATTATCTCATTTTACAAATAAACACAATCTGGAAATATATGCCCTTTTAAGGAAAGGGTTTATGGATGCCACATATATTTTGTGGTAGCCCTTTTCCCTTATTATGATCATAATATCATAAGGACTATAATGCATTGATTTCTTTATGGGAATCCCAAGCAGGATAGCATTAATAGGCAGGACAGAGAGGAGAGAGGCAAGATGGTAAGAGAAGGACAGAAGAAAAAAGGAGAGAGAAAAAGAAGGAACAATTCACTAAGTTGCAGTTTTAATCAGATCATCTTTTAAAGGTTTGAAATTATATGCTAATCAAGCAACAGCCTCATGAGAACACTTTCATTATAGTTATCTGTGAAGTAAATAACTTAACCTGAAATGTTCATGGTTGCACTGTAATAACTCAGAACAAGGATTCTCAAATTGTGCTGTCCACTATTAAATTAAAAAACACACAAACAAACAACAACAACAAAAAACTATGGCAACTTCAAAAAGTAGATATGCTGAATGGCTGTTAAAGGTCTAAGGTGAAGTCTTGTCTTCATTATCTGACTAAAACCAGAGTAAGACCAAACATAATCACTAACAACATCCAATACATCACCTTGTGGCCATTAAGAATGTTTCCCCAATTTAGGAATCCATAAGGTACTTCCAAGACATAAAAGAGAAAAGAAATACTATTAGCATAGTTTAAGATGAAGAGTTCAGACCTCTCTGGATTTTGTTGGACATTTTTGATGAAGATACCTCTGAGATTTAGGGATTAATATTTATGTTATAGATGCTTCAGTGGAGTATTCCTATGTAGTGTAAAGATTCTTTAAAAATAAGGCACACATAGATGCTGTTCACTGATTGTCTCCCACGAAAGTGCACCAAAAGAGCAATCTCAGGATAGGGACTCGAGGAACATTTCGCAGAGGTATATCTTTTTCAGCCTACTGGTTTTCTACAGATGGCTAAAGCAGGGTACGGAACATGCTGTCATATTTCATAACACACATGTACTGTAGCTCGAGGCAACAGATGGACAATCGCTTGTTTAAACTACAAATGTGAAATACTAAGGTAGTATAGCAATATTTCTAGAAATGTATATGGAAAAAAAAGCCTTTCCAAGCCAAGAGGACTGGCGAGAGGCTGTGAGGTTACACCAGTGTTTCCCTGATCTTCCTAGCAGCTGCCAGCATTTCCCCAACACCCTTCAGAACTTGATAACAGAGGGATCAGGGGGCCACAGACACAGATTTGACAAGAGTAGCCCAAACCATATCACATAGAAATAACACTGTTATTCCTGGCTGGTTCACATTAACAGGATTTTTACTAACGAGGAAAACTGTGGGAAAGTTGTGTTTTCAGAGCCCTTGCTATGTTCCACAAAACCCTCTACTACAGCCCCATGGTAGAAGTGCTCTCTTTCTCTGGACCAAGATAAAAATAGTTAGCGTTCTATATACTTTAAGCATCACCATAAGCATCTCTGAAGGATCTTTCATAGTGGAACACAGTTACAGTGTTGATAACTCCACTGCATTAATCAGCATATCCACAATGCAGTAATTTTGATCAGGGAAGTTGCTCCAACAGAAACAATTTGTTAATGAGAAGAAAAAGAACCCACATCTTTGAGCTGCAGAGATTTCCAGCATCTCAAAGCCTTGTTGCCTTATGCTGGAACAATGACTTATTTTTACATTTTAAAGGCAATTTTGTTTGCATATGGTACTTCCACATTGAGTCAGCAGGAGCTGGAAATCAAGGCAATGAAGAAATCTGGTTTTAAAATGATGTGCACAGCCCATGACAGAGTGGGTTTTTTTTCCCTTCTCCCATGTCTCTCATGTTACATAGAATTACCAAATATTTGTGTTCTTGACAATTTTTTAAAACCAGTATATTTTTACCAACTTTCTCTTATAGACTCCATGATATTTTTCTATTATTTTGAATTTAAATGTCAACAATTAAGACAATATATCAAAAGACAATAGAACTATATTCATTAAGGTAATATGATCTTTAAATCTTTGTGATAGGCAACATTTCATGTAACTAAAACAGTAAGGAGTGATTTGGTATTTGTTAAACTATAAGATTAATAGAAAATATAAGAAAGCAATATAGATCATATATTTAAGAAATCCTGGAATAAAATATTGTAGGATCCTTTCCTTATTATACCTTGTGAAAGAAAAAGAAATCTAAATATTTCTGCGTAAGTATGTGTGCACATTCATTATTATATAAAAGTATAATAAGTCTATATTAAAAAAGATTTACTTTTTAAAAATCTTTGGTAAAGATACTCTGAGGTTATGTGATAAAACACACTATAAAGATTGCAAGCAAGCAGTATCCTGGCACAGCCACAGTGATGGGTCTGTGACAGTATTTTCTTCTAACATTTTTTTCTTTGTTGCTTGTAAACATTCAGTTACATAAGGACTTCAATGTAACAAACAAGTAGAATGTTATTGCAATTCATAGTATAAATATTTCATAAATTCTTCCCTTTTTTGGCAAAATGTATAATAATATGACTGCTATTCAAGAGATAAAATCCATTTCTTAATAAATTGGGCTCTTTGCTTTGGGCCTAAAGACAGTTTTTCCCAAGCATATCATAGAAAACAAAGTTACTGAAGCAATTCAAACAGATTATATTATCACCCCGATTGTCTAGCAGTCAGTGCTCTGTGAGGCCAGCAGCATGGTCTGGGCTTTCATTTGGAAGACAGAAATTCAGAGATACAATCGCTATTGTCTCCATGCTACTCAAAGTGAATCCCATTGTAGTTCACATTATGAGAAGTTTAAGATCAAAGATAAGAGCAGTAAGGTAAGGAGAGGACAGTGGTCAAAAACAACTTTAAAAAGATATAATGTTGGAGGTTCTAAAACAAAACTGTTTGGTGACCAAAGCAAATGAGCCACAAATCAACTTGGATGAACTATAGTGACCACAGGCTTAAGAATTTCTTATTGAAAAAAAAAAAGAAAAGAAAGAAAAAAAGAACCATTTTTATGATTATTCTTACTAGAGTAAAATACATTTAATTGGAATTCCTGAGGCATGGGTTCCGATTTAAAACGTGCAGAATTTTTTTTTTCATTTCTGTTCTACGTGTTAAAAAAAAAAAATCAGACTGAAAAATTGACTATTACTTTAAAATCATGAAAAAATCTATTTGTGGAATCAGGGAAGGATACACAAGGGAATGTAACTATATTTGTTATATTTGATTTCTTAAACGGGTGTTACATATACAGGGACTCATTATATTATTATTTATACTTTTGTGTATATTTAAAATACTTCATAATTTAAAAGTATATACTTGTGGAAGATTTGAAGAAAGGTTTAAGAAATCTCAATCCAAAATATTAATCAGTTTTAAAGACGGCAACCTGCCGTTATTAAGATAGGTGTCTCTTCATGAAAGAAACGAGTTAGAACCTAATGAAGTACGGTTCCACAGTCGGCAAGCAAGCATTTCCCTGCCCGGCAGAGTTTGAATAAAGATTCCAGGCAGAGACTCTGCATATTTTTAGCACAGAAAGGCAACTATGTTTTTTCAGTGATTGTCTTTGAAAGTGTGGTGAAATGTCACATCAAAAGTCTCCTGTGATATGTAATTTCAGTTGCAGAAGGATTAAGAGAATAATGAAACTGTGGTTTCACACTCTTCAAGTTTTCCTGTCTTTTTAAAGTAAACTAGACAAAACTACACAATTTTATTTTGTGTGCCCTGATTAGCAATTACCAGGCAAAAGGACCTGGGCCTGGGGAGCAGGGAATTGAACAGCTCTTTAAAGCTATCTTTCACTAGAGAGAAAAATCAATTTTGGTTGTCATGTTTGAATATTAGAAAAAAAATCAAGATTTCTGATATGAAAAGTAGGACAGTAAGAAAATGTTATATTCTAGAGACAAACAAGTTTGTCTGTAATGTGTCTAGGCAGCAAAGGGGAATCTTCAGATGATATTGTGGAATAATAATGGGCTTTTCAAACTTAACCCCAAATGTTTTTTCCAGCATATTCTACCTGTAATTTCTTTAGAAAAACATTGAAATTTGGACCTCTTTTACTAATACCTGTTTTCAAATGAGCCCTGACAACTGGTCACTATAGATTTGGATTTGGATGGTTACAAATGTGGGCTTCTTTTAACCTATCTAATTTACAGCTTAAATTCTTTATAGTCTAACATATAAGTTGTATATTTCCCTCCCTCCCCTGCCAAGGGACATGACCGTTTAGAGCAACAGAAAGATATGCTTTTCGATACACAAAGAGAACAACTATCATTTATGATCAGAGGCAACGTGGACCTGATAGGATGGAGAGACTTCAAGCCTAAAAGCACCTGTGAGCGGGCAGACTCACCCAGGAAAATCTGTGTGACAGCAAATACCACACTAAAAAAAGCCATTCAACCAGATGAAAAGTGAGACAAACAGAGGGATTAAAGTGTACAGGAATGCAGAAGTGAATGGGATGGAGCATAATCCGTGCAAAAATGTGGAAGTCCTTGGGAACAAAGGCCCATCAAGGTCCTACATAACTAAATGTGAAATGTGTAGTTGGTAAGAACATTAAAAAAAAATCTTATAATCTATGTGTTTCTACAGAAAGGTTCCTACTACATGAAGAACAGAGACCATCCTATAGCTTGAATGCCTTTCTTCTATTTTCCTATTGCTTTTCTTAGTATTCTTCTTCTTCTTCTTTTTTGGTGTTTTATTCTTCTCAGTACCACCAACTAACCAGCTGAACAGGCCACTGAACTTAAAGGTCGGTGCTAGCCTTGGCGGTCAACACTCTGATGCGGGCAGAGTTGCAGGTCTTGCAGAGGATGTGTCCATCCAAAGGGTAGCAGCCTTGGTTATCTCCTTCAGATAGGAGGCCACCACAATCCTAGGGAAATAAAGACAGTTGGAAATGATGCACGGGAACATGAAAATGACATATGTGAAGATCAAGTTCTTTAGCTTACCATTCAAGGCCTCAAGAATGTGGCCACTTTTCTTCCCACTTCACATACCATCAGGCCCCTCCAATCCATCCCCAGTATACAACACAGTATGTCTTAAATAAAATTGAATTAGATATTAAAGATATATAGTAAAATAACTCTCCTAAGATCAGTTAATAGGAAATACAGGTTCAGGAAGAGAAGGATCCAAACTTATGAGATCTCAAACGGTAGCTTTGTTCCCTAACCCAAATGACAATACAAGCAAAAGAGAAAATAAAACAGATCCCTAACCACGAATTCACTGTTAACCTTTATCATCAGTGGGGGATAAGAAAATGTTTAAAAATCATTTTCTGAATGTGCTGCCCTTTGGAGACCTGGATTCTAGGGGAAAGCCTTGCTCCTCTTTGCTAAATGACTACATGTCCCTTGGGCAAGAAGTCTTCCTTGTCCCTTCCAGCTTGGATCACAGCTGCCATATTGACCTGTGGTGTAAAGTGCTCAGTCAGTACTGGCTAACTTAATGAATCTCCATGACTTTGAACATGAAGTTCCAACGCCTCTTAAAAGAATACATTTTTATCCTCCTCCATGGGGGACAATGATGTCTCTGCCTCACAGGAATATCAGAGCCCAAGTGAAAGATTCAGTATAGTAACAATAACAACAGCAATAACTTTTCCTACTCACTTAGCACTTTGTGATTGACAGTGTTCTTGAACATGCAATTTTGCATTTTAGTCACACAGCCATGTTTGGGAAAGATAAGAATGAGTCCTTTTAATAGGTGTGGAAATAGAGAAAGAGAGAGGTAAAGTGACTTTTCCCACATCACTAGCATTAAGTGCCCATGTCAGATCTAAAACCCAAGTCCTTTGAAGACAGGCACTCGGGCTGTCCCAGATTGAATAATTGCTATGTTTATGAAAACCTGGCTCTAGTGGGCCTTTCAACGCCTGCCCTGTAAGATTTGAGGGTGCAGACCACAGACCTCACACCGGTAGCAGTGAACATGGAAATCACGATCCAGAGCCACAATTCGGACAGTCTCCTCCTGGCCAGGGGCTGGCATGATAGGCTCCTTGCACACAGAACATCGAGGGGCAAATTTCCTGAAAACAAAGAGATAATTCTGGTTAGGTACTGAGCATAGACAATGACAAAAAGGTAAAACACAAAGATTAAAATAAAAGAATAAAAGGTGTCAATTGAGAGGACATTTGATCTACCATTCTGTGACCTTAAGCAAGTCATTTTCCTTCTTTGGTTCTGCTTCCTCAACTCTAAAATAAAGGACTTAGACTTACTGACTGTTGAGGTCCTTGTAGATCATAAATATTATGATATTGGGTGATATGGGGGAGTGAGAGTGTGAATTGCTTTTGCATGAGAGCACCTGGGAGCTACTGGCCATTTGGTATGTGGCATGGAATTCACCTGTGAACAGATTCCAAACACACACCCTGGGCTTGGGCAAGATCACCTGAGGGGAAAACATCAGTCCTGGAGGTCCCTACTTGTCTCTGCTATTTGATTCTAGAGTTTTGGATGTGTTCCCCAGACCTGACCAAACTGTTCTGAGCTTGATAACTTTGCCTCTTTCCCAGTTATCAGAGCCTCTTTGAAATGTGTCTTGAATTCTAGGAATTAAACCTCAGATGACTATTTTTCAAAATAACAGAGGTTAGTGAGTTTAAATACTCTTTACACCAAACTTACTATGGCCAAATCTTCATTTCTTACATTTTGCTTATGTTAAACTTTTGTTCGAAAAACAAGAAAGTTATTAAGAAGAATCAGTCCTCTATTCTTAGCCTTTGGGTTGGTCTAGATCAGTGATGGCAAACCTTTTGAGCTCAGCGTATCAGCATTTTGAAAACCCTAACTTAACTCTGGTGCTGTGTCACATATAGAAATTTTTCTGATATTTGCAACCATAGTAAAACAAAGACTTATGTTTTTGATATTTATTTTATATATTTAAATGCCATTTAACAAAGAAAAATCAACCAAAAAATTGATTTCATGTGTCACCTCTGACATGTGTGTCATAGGTTCGCCATCACTGATCTAGGTGGTAATCTTCAGATGTCCAGTGATCTGGACAATGAAACAATTTCTTCTCAAAGTCACTTAATGGAATTATGTATGGCCAGGCATTGATGTACAATGACCTGATGTGGGTCCAGGTATTCACGCAGGACTGGAAAGTTCAAAAGTTTAAGTTTCCAGAATCAGTTTTAAAAGTATAGAATTGCCTTAGCTGATTTGGCTCAGTGGATAGAGCATCAGCCTGTGGACTGAAAGGTCCTGGGTTCGATTCCCGTCAAGGGCACATGACTGGGCTTCCAGGTTCATCCCTGCCCCCCAGCTGGGGCATGTGTGGGAGGCAACCAATCAATGTGTTTCCCTCACATCAATGTTTCTTTGCAGGCTTGGTCTCCAGTGGGGAGTGTGCAGGAGGCAGCTGATCAATGATTCTCTCTCATCATTGATGTTTCTAAAGGGTGTCCCAAAATTCACGCAAGGAGTAATTTTGATAGAAAACACAGGTTTATAATGAAAAATTGTAAATGTTTTTGATAAAGTATGCAGTATAGGGTTATGTATGGAATAGCATATCGGGTAAACGGCCTCCACTGCTTTGCTGGCACATACACACTCTTTTGTTAAAATTTTCCATGACCGTTTTGCATAAATGTGGCTGAATTTCGTTGATACAGGGCTCAATTTCTTCCTTCAAGGTGTAGGTGGTCGTGGGCTTGTTGGCATAAACCTTAGACTTCAAAAAACCCCAAAGAAAAAAGTCAAATGGCGTTAAATCGCATGATCTGGGCGGCTAATTCTGGTCACCTAAATGGGAAATTACATGACCAGGAAATGACTCATGCAGTAATTGAATTGTTTCTCTGGCTGTATGGCATGTGGCACAGTCTTGTTGAAACCACATGTCGTCCACATCCATATCTTGCAATTTAGGCACAGAAAACTGGTTTATCATGTTGCAATGGTGAGCACCATTAACTGTTATTGCCTGAGCAGCCGCATTTTATCCTATATTCTATTCCACACATAACCCTGTACTGTATACTTTATGAATCAATAAAAAAGTTACAATTTTTAATTATAAATTTTTAAAACCTGTGTTTTCTATCAAAATTATTTCTTGCATGAATTTTGGGACACCCTTTATCTCCCTCTCCCTTTCCCTCTGAAATCAACCCTATATAATAAAAGGGTAATATGCAAATTGACCCTAACAGCAGAATGACTGGGAATGACTGGTCACTATGACACACACTGACCACCAGGGGGCAGACGCTCAATGCAGGAGCTGCCCTCTTGTGGTCAGTGTGCTCCCACAGGGGGAGCTCTGCTCAGCCACAAGCCAGGCTGATGACTGCCAGCACAGTGGTGGTGGTGGGAACCTCTCCCGCCTCCTTTGCAGCTCTAAGGATGTCCAACTACAGCTTAGGCCTGCTCCCCGCTGGCAAGTGGACATCCCTAGAGGGCTGCCGGGCTGCCAGAGGGATGTCTGACTGCCAGCTTAGGCCTGATCCCCCCGGGTAGCAGGCCTAAAGCAGGTGGACATCCCTTGAGGGGTCCCAGACTGCGAGAGGGCACAGGGCGGGAAGAGGGACTCCACCAAGTGCACAAATTTTTGTGCACTGGGCCTCTAGTAAAATTATATTTAAAAAAAAAGAAAAACAAGAAAGTTGAAGATTTGTTAAGTTTTGGTATTCTATAATGGATTTTAGCACTTCTGAAGGGTAAGTGTACATGAACACAGAAGCGCTTACACCTACATACACATTTATGTACAATTTTGAGGTTAACTGTTGGTGAGGAATTTTAATATTTCTTAATATTGTTTACTATGACCGATTGCCCTAAGAATATTTTTTTTCTCATAACAGATTAATAAGAGGCAAATATCAGCCATATATCCATTTGTATCTGGCATTTAGGGGTGGCATTTGTGAAGGCATGAAATGAGACATGCTTTGAAATAGGTATGAATAAGAAGTGAAAAGATAAAAAAAGAAAGACACTATGCAACTTTCTTTACTTATGGTAATGGTTTTAACATTGATGATGTTAAAATTTACTTATTTGGGGTAAGACTTAAAAAGAAAAAAATGATAGTAATCTATATTTTGCATAGCACTTTATGGTTGTCAAAGCATATTTATGTATATTATACTCTATATGTACATATTAATTTTCCTGGCAGCACCCATAAGGCAATCTGTATGGCTGAAATCTAAAAGACATATAAATTAAGCAGTAGATAAATTGATTGCTATGAAAGAATAATTAAAAGGATCATGGTACAACTGCAGCTGTAATCAGGATTGTTATAATTGGTATTTTATACAAGAAGTTTATACTCAGAGGCAAAAAAAAAATGCTTTGGACTATCTGGTTATTTTTGAATTTGGGTCACCAGTAGCGAAATGAGAAGTCTTCTAGAATCAACTGCGAAATTTCATTTCCCAAACCCATTTGACTATAAATTCTGTAAGGCCAAAAGTATGTCTTGCCCATCACTGTATCTAGGAGCTTTACCCAATTTCCTCCAGTGGGGTTACTTACTCCTCTAGGATATCTCATTGCATATGCTTATTATAGTAGGAATCATTTGCATATCCTTGAGGACCACTAATTGTGGCCCTCCATAAGACAGGTTGTCTGAGCCCCCCAAGACAACCACTGTGACTGGTGCAGAGAGCAGAAATTCAGGCTATATCCAATGAAATGAAGTAGCTGCATTATTTCTCCATAAAAAAAATATGTTACATGGGCCTTTATATTCAATCTCAAGGTCCTTCCTTTTTGGAAAAGCATAAACTGTGTTCTTACTGAGTAATGATTTCTTCCTACCAATTGGCCTCATTTCCATGAAGAGAAGAAGTAAAGGCAAGAGGCAGGAAGTGGTTTCTGCAGCCCCCACTGTGTTCATTGGCCAGCGTTTCAAGGACTGTTCTAAATCCCAGGTGGTCTATTTCAAGGTTCAGCTCACTGAGCAGACAATGATAATAAAAAATATAAATTTGATAACACTTTTGATGGTTAAAATAGCTACCATTTATTGAGTGCTTATTCTGTGCCAAGCCCTGTTAAGCACTTGACCTTGTTTTCTACTGACAGCAATGTTATGAGGAGCTACTTTTATCATTTCTACTTAACAGCCTCGGGAGCCAAGGCTCAAGGAGGGATGGTCTTAATCATCTTGTGTCCTGGCACATTTCTGGCAATCCACAAATGGGTGCTGAGGAAACAAACAAATGGCTCAGTGTAATATGCATGATAAGAAAGCACAGATTGTGGAATAAAGGCTCAATACAATGAAAGGGTCAGTTAAAGAAGCCTGCTTTTCTGGGCTCACTGTGCTAGCATTGGGAGTACAGGAATAAACTGGGACTGCAGAAATCGGACTGGTGAGGGAGTTCTATCTATTTCTACTTGTTCTATTAATATATATGTCCTATTATAGTGAAAAAATCATTTACAGTGGTTACTATGAAAGTTTGTAGATGTGTATGTCCATGCATGTGTATTTTTATCACTAGTCAGACTATGTTGAGTGTTATCTATAGCTAGTAAAGGATACAAAGTGAAATATGGGGCTGGAGAGGGATTGAGATCAGAGAAAACTTCTTAGGGAAATGACAATTAAGTTGTGCCATGAAAGATGGCCATTTAGGTGAAATGGGAAAGTGTGTGTGTGTGTGTGTGTGTGTGTGTGTGTGTGTGTGTGTGTGTGTTGGGGATGAGGTACAGTCAGTCTCCCTGGAACTGCATTTGAGCAGTCCTCCAAAATGACATATG